CTTTTTTTTGTTAGATTATACAGTGCAATAATTTTTAAGGTAAGGTAAGGTTTTTTTAAAAAAACGAATCAAAAATAGTTAATACAAATTTTAAATTTTGATAAAATTATTTGTAGATTCCTGAAAAAATAACAAGATTTACCACAATTTACCAGATTTTTTATGACAACTGACAAGAATTTGAATTTGAATCTTTTTTATTATCTACTCATTTAAAACCTATATATTAAAACTTTATAATATTACTTAATAACATGACAATCCATTTCATAAAATAATTTGTTAATATATTTTTTTAAATTTTTTTGGTACAAAATATATTTTTATTGCAATTTTTAAGTGCAATTTTGGGTTTTTTTCACAGCAATAATGCAATCAATTTTATAACATTTWTAGTGCAACAACATCCAAGCCCTAATTATCACTTATTAGTTATATATCAATAAACAAGACATTTACTTTTCCAAATAAGGTTTTCACTTGGTCAAAACTCAATAAGCTTGGGTTTTTATTCTGCATTGATGGGAGATTCAGTATAAGAGCTGATAAAGGTAATACTTTTTTTGGAATTGATGATGCAGTCCTATGAGTTACTAACCAACCAGGTTCACCAACAGCTTTCATTTTTTGTGGCCTGAAAATTATTTTCTTAAAACACATTCTTAATTACCAATTTATAATTAAAAGTACATACCGAGAACAAAGATCTAAATAAAATCCAGCCACAATAGAAGGATCATTTTCTTGTATTATTTCATAATATTTGACATCAGGATGCCAGAGATCAACTCTATTCGGCATTTCTAAAATGCGTATTCCATAGAGTCGTCTACATAGTTCAAAGAGACCATCTAAAACTCGGTCTAATGGGAAGTACTCAGACCATTGAACTTCATCGTAACTAAAACAATTAATATATTTCATACATATATGGATAAAACACGAAAATGTGAAGAATTCAATTGGAAGTATAACTAACCCATAGAGTTCTTTTTTTTGTAATCTTGCCCAGTAACTTACATCCCACATTTGAATAGGATATTCATTACCCTTTTTATTTGAAAAATGTTGTAATGATTCTATTTCTTTGTCTTGTAAGGGTCTCGCTGTAAACAATTATTTATTGTATAATAGTTTCAGGTACATAATAAATATGATGCATCGGAAGTAAATAACTCTCAAACATAATTAATCAAAATAGTTAAAAATACTATAAAATAAACTAAATGTAAAATGTATATTGTATAGTATTTAGTATTTACCTTTATCCAATATTGACAATAATGTATTTTCTATAACTGAAATTGAGGGAGCCATTTTTGTAATCAATGATATTTCGCCATAATTTTTAAAACCCAATTTTTCAGCAGCTTCAAGTCTATAATTTAAAATATTTAGCAAATATTAAYGAAATAATTAATAACAATACTAACCAATATTTAAATAAATATATAAATTAGTATTGAATTATAATAAGAAATTTGTTAACTTTTAATGGGTAGTAAATAAGTTAAAGATGAATCGTTTTGTACATATTGTTAGCATAGTTTGACCTAATTCACAAATTGCCATAAGTCATACCACTAAAAAAAACWTTATTTGGAGGATTGTACTAAATATATTACATTGTGCTATCATTTAATGATATCACTACTTAAAATCAAGATTTAATTACAGCTCTCATAAAATCTAGTGTTAAGATTCYATCAAACTAACCCCACATTTATTTATTTTTAAAATTATCTTAATTCTGTTTCATTTGAATTGTTATAATTAAATAATGATAGTTAATACCACATTTTTTTTTATTATTATTATATTTTACTAGCTATACAATTGTACAACCCTAATTCACACGAGAGAAAATTAACAAACATACAGCGTTATATTGATAWAYCTCAGCAAATCTGAATAGGTATATCTCACTTTATGAATTAATTCAACCAAGATGGGCAATGGGCGATGTGGTATATTGGATATAGCACTTGTTACATTTTTGAACATGGTTCAAGCTTCTTCCTCGACATTCTAGATAGTCTTAAACAGGAGGGAGGACGATTTCCCTTATTGTCACGCTTTGTATCCGCCCTTGAGATAGTGTAACTGGTTTATTGTTATTTTATTTCTCAAATTCTATTCATAGAATTTGGGTCCATAAAACTATACTTAAGACCTGTTACTTTGTGTACTCTATAAATTGAAAAACTCCATTCATATTAATTTGGTAGTTTCTRAATTTATCTTTATAACAAAACAATTTAAATATTGAATAATTGTTCATAATTTCTCTAGAAAAATAATTGATATAATAAAATGAAGTAACAACAATAATTGTGAATTAGATAGATAACAAATATAATATGAATTAAAGGTTTTTCATATCTCCTGGAAAATAGGCAATATGGAGGTATTACAATTGCGAATTAGGCCAACAATATATATATATATTACGTAGCAATTTTAGTTACATCATTAATAAATTGTAAATACTTTTAATTTATTGTTTTAAACAGTTTTTAAAAATTCTTAAATTTTATTTAATTTACCTTAATTTTCGAATTTCTTCAACTTCTAAACCATTGTTAAGTTCTCTTTTTTCGTCAGCAGGTGAACCAGCCTTTTCATAAGCTTGCCAGACATTCCAACGTAAATCTCTGTCTGGGCAGTACTCAATAAATCTATCTGCAATACCCCATGTCAAGGCAACTTTCCATGGACGTTTCTTAGGGTTGTCCCTATAAAATTAACACAAAAAATAATTTTTCTTAATTACAAGATTATAATATTATAATATTACAACTTACTTATTTAATGCCATTAATGTCAAAAGGTCTTCTGGAAAATCTTTGACTAGTTGTGGATTATCAATTATTTGTTGAAATTGACTCCATGCCATCTAAATATATAATATTAATTTAGATACACAATTTGAAAGTCATAACAGGTTTTTAGTGCTAACAAAAAWTATTCACCTGCCACTAGTTTTCTTTTAAAATAATTACAATTTWTATTAAATAAACACATTATTTTGTTGAATGATCAATGAATTACCAAGAATGCTGAACAACAAAATACTTACATAAAAATACCCTTTTTTAGACGACAATGATCAAATTTAATTCAATTAAGGTTAAAACTTAAAAATGAAATGGTATACCAAAGTATTTTATAATTTCGAAATCATTAAAATAKTATAAAAATTGCAGCCACCAAGTGAATATATTTGTTTAATTTCAACTACCAAATATTATAAATTTATAAATGGGTTAATCTTACTTCTAAACGAATTTTAAAATATTTTTGCTTAGTACTGCATTTTTGTTTATTTGCTTTAAATGAATAATCTAATTGTTCACTAAGTTCAAGTCCATTGAGTTTTCCTTCTTTAATAAATTTATTAACAACTGCAACTTGTTCTTCTGTCAATTTAGACAAATCAGCTTTCTATAAATAACAAAGTAGTATATTGTAGTACACACACAAGATATTAATTCAATTTAAGAATATAATACTAACTTTACATGCTTCATAAATAGGTTTGCTGTTGTATTTTGTTGTATGAGACATACATGCTTTATTGTGTATTGGATAATATATCCGAGCCGGCATTATTGAACTATCAGCTAAATATAATGTTTTTAATACAGCCCATATTTGATCAAATTTATGACTAAGATTCTCAATTGGCTCTAATACATCTTTAAATAAATCATATTTTCCATCTTCAACTAAAAAGACAGTCAATTCATAAGATAAGGCATTCTATTAATCATCATCAAAAATCATATTACCTGAGTTAAGGTAATCTTCAATATCACGTATGCCGCATTCAAAATCAATAAATTGATTACTAATTGTGTTTTCACATTTTTTGATATCTAAGCCCGTAAAACTTGGATGGTCGGCATTTACTTGTAAAAGACTTTCTGTTAAATCTTTACTGATTTCTGGCAATCTAAGACAGCAAAGTTTAATTAATTATCATATTCATTCAAWATTAACACTAATTAAGTAGAAAAAGTACAATAATAAAATTAAAATAATAATTAAAAAAATTATCTAAATGTATAACTATATAAGAAATATTATTAAAATAATTTTATTTTTTATTTTATTTATTTGAAAACAAATAATTTACAATAGGTTATAGAATACAAATATATAGTTATTTTCGATCTTTTGTGTAAGGAATTTTCAAATCTTATTATACAATTTTAAATTATTTTTAGCATTAATTTATATATTGTTTTTTTGTTCACTTACAATACAATATATCCATTTCGACTTGGTACTCTGGTTAATGCACAATTCTTGTGTTTTGGTATTATGTTTTGACACAATCTTGTGCAACGTGAAACAAATAACATTTTGTAAAATAATTGATTGAGAGTGTAAAAATCTAATTAAATACGTWTATATGTTTAATTATTCGATTATAATARTATTAAACAAAAAGTATGAGTATAGCTTTGGTTTATATTTAATAATTTAGTATAATAAATTAAATAAGTAAAGCACTATATTATATTGAATATTATTATAGATGATTGAAAAATCAAAAATGAACTTTCTTATCACTTGGAAATTATCAATAATATTTTAAGGTTAATACAATTATTGTTATTATTATTTTATCATCATCAATATTATTACTATAACTATTATTATTATCAAGGTGATAGTGATACCCGCCAGGTTGATTGATTTATGGCTGGGTACTGGGTAGTATAAATAGTATAATACTACAATATCCACTTCAATTATTATTTATTTTATTATATATTATTATAAATTTATAATTTATAACTTATAACATTTAAGTATTGTTAACTGCTATTATTTATTATTTATTAGCTATAAATGTTAGCTTATTACTGTTGTTTACAGTGTTCTCACTAAAATCTGCAGGTTCAGAATTAGTATTATATATAAATTTAAAATTAAAAAAATATAAATTATAAAATAGATATTTTAATATAATATTAATTATTTTCGTTTTTAATTTTATGTTTACAAAATATAAATTATGTTTGACAAAAAGATGTTGAATGCTTTTCCTCAAATATCCCACACAAATTTAATCAATATACTGAAACATATGCCCGGACCCAAAGACTTAGTTGTAGAACATAGACTATTTAAGCCCCTTGAAATGTTCATCGATATGAAAAGCTTAAGGTATGATCTTGTTAAWATTATTTATTAAGATACTAAAATATGTTTTTATTAAAGGCTTTATGGGGTCGAAAAAGTGTTTAAGCTGCAAGAATCAATCAACCCAATTACTGATCGACAGTGCGTTTTTTTGGTGTCATCTAATCTAACAGCAACAAAAATTATTTGCGATCTCATTAACTCGTGTCTAAGTAGAATAAGCTTAGCTGAAGATATTATTAAAATCATTATTGTTCCCAGGTCATTGATTACTATTGAAAAACAGTTTGAAGAGGAAGGTGTCTACGGATACATTCAAATATTTGAATTCCAATGGGATTTCATTCATTTAGGAGATTCCTTACTTTCATTGGAGATGATAGATTTCTACAAAAATGTTTTTGTTGAAGAAAACCAGTCGTTGTTATTGCCTGTTGCTAAAGCCCTGTGGACAGCTTTTATGGTTTTGGGATTTCCTAAGACAGTGTGTGTAAATGGAAAGTTATCTACAGCTGTTTATAAATTATTGAATAGATGTTTTACAAAAAAAGGAAAGCCTAGTAATAAAAGTGAATCATGTTTTTGTATTTTGGATAGGGATTTTGATTATGCAAGCGTGCTGTTAACTCCTTGTACATATGCAAGTCTTTTAGATCAGGTAGTTGGTATACAAAATGGTATAGTAGAGATAAAAAAAAATGATGGAACTACATCTATAAAAAACTTGTGTAACCCAGATGAAACTTACGAATATGTCAAATACAAGCAATTTGGTGATGTGTTAAATTACTGGAAATCAAAATCCAAAGAATTGCAAGACAAACTGGAAAAAAGCAAAAAACTGCAGCTAGATGAAATGAAACAGTATGTCACTCAAGAGTTACAGAGTGTCTTAATGTCAAAGAAAAACCTTACGTTCCATATTGATGCGTCTGAAGTTGTATCAAAAGTAATAGGTGATAAATTTATTGATTATATTACACTGGAAAAAAATATGTTAGAAAATAGAAGTCGCAAAGAAAACTTAAACTGTATAGAAGATTTGTTGGCCTTTGGAAAGGGTAGTGCCAACGATATATTACAGCTCATATGTTTATTCTCACRATCTCAGGATGGATTTACTTCGATAGAATTAAATAATATAAAAACAAAATTTTTACACCAATATGGTTTCAAGTATTTTGAGACATTCCATGTTTTAGAGAAAATGAATTTAATAGTAAAACATGATAATAGCTCAGTTTTAAACAGTAATTTAAATAAAATTATATCCATTAATAAAACCAAGCAAATGATGCAAAACATGATACAAAAATTAAGACTTGTAGATGATAGCGATCATTGCATGAGTGCAGCATTTGGTGGATCATATGTCCCCGCTATTGGTAAACTAATAGAGATTATGTGTAAGGAAGAAATGCCTGAAGAAGAAATTGTTAAATTATTATCCAACTATTCATTTCAAGTCAATGACTTTAAGACTGGAATAAAAACTGTATATGTTATGGTAATTGGAGGTATAACATATGCTGAACAAGCAGCACTTCATTTTTTAGAAAAATCGATGAATATAAAAATCATTATTTTCAGCACAAATATAATCAATGGAAATATTTTAATAAACTCTTGTTTATAGTATTTATATAAATTACCCATAGATAGCAAATTATTTTAACTTTTTACAAAAAAACTTTTAATTATTATGTTGTTCACAAAGACATAAATATATGTATGTCTAGTTATTCAGTACTTATTTTGTATATTTCCTAATTCCCTACATAAATTAAAAGACTAAGTAAAAATATATAGAATAATTTATAAATACTGTAATAGAAAATGTTATATTAATATTTAATAATATGTGCAATATAGTTGGTATATGTATAATTATTGTAAAGTGATGGTGAATAATGTATTATTTTTATTTGATTGATTTTTAGATGTTTATAAGTATTAATATAAGTTATAACTATCTAGATACATATTTATTCACTGGTAGTTATGCCTGCTAGGCCAAAGAGTACAGAATATTCATAAAATATTTATTAGGGATAACATACAGTATAAAATTAACGAACTAATTTTTTTTAAACTTGCATATCATTAAAAAAAAATCAAAGTTTGATAGATTTTCTGTCTATAATGTAAAATTATATAAATAGGGCTATGAATAACAAAATGATGTTTATTATTTGGTGCATTTTGAAATAGAGTGTTATGTCTAGCAATAACATTTAACTGAAGAAGCTCTGATGCCAATACGACTAAAAAGATCAAGTTAGACAAAGACAACTGTTCCATTTAATAGTTTGTATAAGAACAAATAATCATAATATTACATCTACTAATTAGAGCGGATATATTATACTCTGTCCAGTAACGTTTCCTAGGGGGGCACAGGGCCATGCCCCTCCTCATTGGCTATTTTTGCTATTTTTTTTTCTAAAAATGTATAATTATTTGTTTACATGAACACATACTAATAAAATACCTATGATTATAGTGATTTACCAATGAATATTTTGTGCTTATACCAGTTACCACTATTTTAACACTCATTGTACACAATTGTTTATTTTTATACCCTTAAAATTTTTTTTGGACTAAAATTACCGTTTTTATTATTTAATTACTTCTTAATGACTGACTAAAAACATAAATAAATAATTTGCATTAAAAACATTAACTAGTTGGTTGATTTGATTTTTTCTTTTTGGTATTATTTTTTTTTATAGGTAGTGTAGGTATATGGAAAAATTGAAGATAATGTGTCCTCCCTCCTAAAAAAATTCTGGATACGCCACTGACTTAGTATTGATTTCAGCAATAGATAGTCTACTCAAGATTWATTTATAGGTAATCCCAATGAAATTTCTTTGAATTTTATCAATTAAACTTACTGATTGAGGGTTCCCAGTTAACAAATCAAACTCCAATATAGGATGACCAATGAAAAAAATAAAACTTTTAAACACATATGAATATATAATTAAATCTATTCAGTAAAATGTATAGAATTTAGTTTTCTAAAGGCTTTTGCATAAATAGTTTCTATGTAACAGACAAAACTCAGATCGGCTGATAAAATTCTACCGAGTTCACACACCCCCACACCTCATTCATCATAACATTAATATTAAAGCTAGCTAGGTTATAATGGTAAWGTGRAAAGTTGGAGTTTAATGGATGATATTTTTCCATACATTTGTCTACTTTCATCTAGGTAATCTAGCTGCTATTTGAGAACCATGTTAAAAATCGATCAAGGTATTGTTATAGTTTTATCATTTTGAACAATCATTATTGTGATTAATTAATAAATATTTTTTTATATTTTCAGCCAATTATAAGAATTAACTATGTTTAAATACTTTTTAATAATTTAATATATAAATACTAAAAATAAGAAAGGGGWTATATTGCCACCTTTCATCACACCAGAAAACACTAGTTTTGACTCGGCATTTGTAATGATTATAGAATTTTTAAAATTTGAATGCGCTAAGGTATATGAAAAAAATGACAGACAGAATAATAATATGCTACCACAAGATCTATAATGCTACTATCTGTTCTTGTTTTTAAGTTYGTTCAGATYGGGATGATCCGGTGGTTAGTCTACAGATTTATATTTTCTAAAACCGTGTTAATTATCGATAAAGATAATAATATATTTAAAATGGGACGCTTTTTATTCAATGATGAGCTTAGATTAACGACTGGTCGATAATTTTAAATATCATCTCTGGTTCCAGATTTCTAAATTAGATTGATAAAACTATGTTTCCTCATTTTTGGGAATATGGCCAGTCGCAATTTAGGCAAGTATTTCATTCCAAGACGCTTACAACTTTTATTTGATAATTTATATAAATATAATTAATTTGTAATAGGTATATCTACATTAACATGTATTCAAAAAATATTAATATTGTATTGTAAACCTACACATATAAGGGACTTATGTGATGACATATTGC